ATCACATTTTGGTAATTCTCACAATATTTCAAACTTTTTCATAATGGTATTACACACTTAATAGACTAAAGTATAGTGTAAATATAACTTTTATATGCACTGGGAAACAAACAAAAACGAAATAAAATCATGGTACTCACTTTATTGTGGCAATTAGAAACCAACAGTGCCAGAGTCGATTCCAATTCATAGTGAACTTGTATAGGGTTTCCAAGGAGTGGGTAGTGGGTTTGAACTTACGACCTTATGGTTAGCAGTACAGTGCTTATCTTACAGGGTCACACCAGAGCCCCATAATTAATTTGTTGTTGTTGATGTTGTTAAGTGCTGTCTTGTCGGTTCTGACCCATAGTGACCCTGTATAGGGTTTCTGAGGAGCAGCTGGTGAGCTTGAACTGCCGACCTTGCAGTTCAAACAGCTCTGCAGTCTGGCACATTAACCCCCAGTGCCACACCAGGATTAATATAGTTGTCTATTCAGTGGAAGGTGGGAGGTTGATTTCACTCAAAGTCAAAAACATTGTCTTCCAACCCTAATTCTAAAGTATCAAATATTTCATGGTAGTTTTTTTTTTTTTTCAAATAATACATATTATCATGAGGGACAACCTCTTGGATAAAAGATACTTGGGAAAGTGGAAAGTTAGAGTTAAAAAAAGATGGATTCACAATATGGTTTGACACAATGACTGCAACAAGGAAGTGAAACACAGCAACCAAAAATTGTGAGAATGGCACAGGACCTGGAAATGTTTCTTTCTGTTGTACAAAGGATCAGAACTGACTCCATGCTATCTAACAATAACAAAAACATCATAAAGATATATTTCAATTTCTATTTTTTACTGAAAGTGTCTATTAGGAATGAAAGGTAAATTTCATCAAATGTCTTGGGGTATTTATTGACCTTACCTTTCCCCATTTTGATCAGTTCATATTTAAAAATGTCAGAATCAGTTTAGTACTATTAGCCCTATGAGCATTTGGGGAATGAACTCCCTTGACTGTGAAGCATTACTGTTTGGGAACACTGTGCTCGTCTCTAGGCTTGTGCTGTATTCAGAGTTTGTGTCTATATTCTATTCATGGGTAGTTGTTTAATGCTGAATTCATAAAAAATAAAAAAAATAAAAAAATCTTTATTTTTTCCTTGTGCTGTATACCTGGTCTCAGAGAATTTTCTTTCTATTTTTTTGTAAGTTTTCTTTGAAAATTCAAAAGGATTTTAAGTTGTTGATATGTTGGTATTTTCATTATCATCCAGTTTATAATTGTTTATAATTTCATTTGATTTCCTCTTTGACCCAAATGTCTTTTTCAATTTCCAAATAATTTATGATTTTCCAGATATCTGTTTATTACTGATTTAAAGTTTCATTTTGTCATGATCAGAGACTATATCCTATATGGTTTCAATCACGTGGTATTGAGGCTTGTGTTATTGCTTGGCAGATGATCCATATTTGGCAAATATTCCCTTTGCATTTGAAAAGCCTATATATTCTGTACTTGTTAGATATTGTGTTCTAATATCTAACAAGTACAGAATAGTTCTAATATCTAACAATTACAGAATATACGACACTAACTACCTAAGTGTCAATCTTTCACTTAGGTTGTTAGTGTTGCTCATGCCTTCTGAACATGTTATGATTTTTTTAACTTGTACTTTCTGAGAGTAGTTTTGAAATTTCCAATAATATCTATGGTGGTG